CAGTGCAGTGCATTGAGCTAAATGCTAACTGCTAACATGCGCACAATGACAATATTAAAATGCTAAAGTTAAGCAGGTATAATATTTACCATGTTCACCATCTTAGTTTAGCCTGTTAGCCTGTTAACATTTGCTAATTAGCACAAAGTAAAGCTGAGGCTGATGGGGAATGTCATTAGTTTTAAAGGTATTTAATCATAAATCAAAGTATTTGACAAGGTTTTGACCTGATGATGGTGCCAGATGAAAAGTGAAGGGATCATCTAAGTTATTACAATTCATCCACCTAGTTTCATATACAGTAGTTGTAGTTTTAATTCCTTTCGGCTCTGATCAGGTCTCTTGCTGCAGCAGGTCATTTGGGGACACAACAGAAGCATCACTGTGTGTTATTATAACAACAAACATCCCAGTTCAATCTGTCTTTTATTTACAGGAGCGCAGTAAGGCGCTGGCCGCAGTGCCTCCTCTTTCATCCCTTTTCGGCTCCTCCCAAGTCTCCCCGTCTCTTCTGATTGCTGCCAGAGAGGATCAGTCCTTCATTGAGCCAATCAAGGCTGGAACAAGCACCCCCGTCTACAAGGTACAACTGTGAACAATTAAAAAGATGTCTCTGATGGTTGCAGATGGTTTCTAATTTTTCTTTGGTCTCACTAGACGTTGATGGGCAGCGTTCCAGACAGAGGAGGACGGCCGGGGGAAATCGAGCCACCAATGCCACTGTGGGAAGATCGAAGAGCGAAAGGAAACCGATCAGGACGAGGAGGTGGACACCAACAACGGCGTAAATTCTCAGATAAAAAGAAGAGAGGGAAAAAAGAATAATGTGTCTTTCACTTTGGCTTTACTGTTTAATTTGAGAAATAAGGGATGATTTTTCTTTATTCAAATCCTTATGAAATAGATTATGGCTGTGGAATGCTACATATGATATAATTTATGATATAATTTATATTTTTATGATATGAATGTGTGTATAATTCTTAGTTATAGTACACAGATATACCTGACTGTGTATCTTTCTTTAAAAAAAGGCTTGCTATTGCTATAATGTACTGGTATATGACCAGATATTTTTGTTAATATGAAAGAACAGAACAGAAAAATAATACTTAATTTTGTATGTATTGGCTTTGCACATTCATATATAGGTTTGTTTACTCAAATTAAACCTATTAAACAGAAGATTGTTGCTATTTTGTGTGATGTAATGCACATTGTTGATAATGCTTTAATGCTTAAAACAGTCACAATCAGCCACTTTTTAATTACCAATTATCATTTAAGTTTTAGCAAGAAAACATAAAACTGATGTAAATGATTTTCTCAATTATTGACTGTTTTCATAAGCCTGATCAGAGAGGCTAAAAGGCTCTAATGGAGTAGATCTTACAGACAGAGGTATTATTTTATCTATTATTATATGTAGCAGAGTGTAGGAGACATTCACATACGATTTTTATTTCATCCCAGTGTCTTGAAGTTATTATAAAATTAATATTTGGTTTTAATTTATTATATGAAAGACTAAAAAACAGTTACATCAGCAAAAAAACAAACACATTTGGCAACAATTCAGAGGTAAAACCAGGCTGTCTCCAAATGATAATTAAGTGACTAATTCACCTCAAGACATGGCTGTAATGAAGAATTTGAACCCAGAGAAAGCATCTGAAGCACAGTGTGAGAGGAGAATGCAAACTACATCTTTTTTATTTATTTTTTTAAATAATAAGAATAAAGTGAAAACAATTCATCTTTCTTAAAAATATATATTTTAATTTTTCTATTGTGAAGCTCACAAAAAACATTTGACTTTTTCTTATTATTATTTTATTGTAATTTCAGGTCCAGATATGAAAACTTTAGTGGTTGCACCAGTTCAGATATATTTAATAGAAAATAGAAAATGTAAAAAATACGTTGCTATCACGCGTAATTCGCATGTTAATGAATATTAAAACACGATTCAAGCTGATATTGCATTATAAACATTATATATAAATGAAGTGAGTTACATAATACATACTTACCTGCAGCTTACCAAAGTGTCATTGTTGTGTCCGTCCTACCGGAAGTTACCCGTGAGACAAATGATGTAACACATAGAAAGTTCCGGATTAGCCAAAGGTCGACATTTATCTGCGAGTGTGAAACTGAGCATCGCGTCTGCCTTGAACCAGCCAGCAAACTCACTAATAAACTAGCTAATACATTAACAAAATGCCGAGAGGAAGCAGAAGCCGCACATCCAGGATGGCTCCTCCAGCCAGGTAACATTTAATCCTTATAATGTTAAAGGTTTGTAGGTTCATGTAGCTGCGAGCAGGTTGAGGGAGCTAGCTGTACAGTCAACGCAGCTAGCCAGGGTTTATAATTACCATCGAGAGACTTCGAGGTCATATTTACATCCAAATGTCTTTCTTTTGTACCAGCAAACTGTGCTCAAAAGTCATTGATATAGGTACTGAAGGTCATCGTTGTCAGGGTCTTTTATGGCAACACAACTAACTAAATTAAACATTTTAAAGCCGTGTGGGATTATATAAATCTACAGGCAGCTAGGATCAGTTTCCCTTTAATCTGCAGCTGAATTAAGTGGACATTTTCTGAAGTTAAGTGTGTTCTGATTTCTTTACATGAACACTGAATGCCTCTAACTTTCCTGCCAACATCCCATTATCCCCAGTGTTTGTCTGATTTTGGACCATGTTACCCACATCTGGTTTAAATTAAGAATTGGATGAAAGCGTTGGATACCAAGTCCAGCATATTGTAATATGATTTTGTACCATCATGCGTCAGTGCATTTGGCCTAAATGTGCTTTTTTTGGCCTTCTTGAGCATTTATTTGCATTAGTACAACAGACCCAAGAGAAAGCTGGAATACAAAACTAATTTTAAAAAACATATACTATTACATACAGGTATTATCAGCTGTTATTCTGTTGGGATTGTACTTTTAAAACAACTTTATCTTTCCAGACAAGCACCACCACCCATGGCCAGGGCCGCACCTCCTCCCTCCTATGCCCCGGCCCCGATGCAGGCTCCTGCGTCGGCTGTGGGAGCTCCAGCTGCAGCACCCAGGCAGCCTGGTATGTTTGCCCAGATGGCAACCACAGCTGCCGGAGTGGCAGTGGGCTCGGCAGTAGGACATACCCTCGGCCACGCCATGACCGGAGGCTTCAGTGGAGGACAGTCGGAGCCTGCCAGGCCCGACGTCACTTACCAGGTAAATAAACTGCGGTTTGAGCCGGTCACAGGACTGGAATAGCTTCAGGGCAGATTAGTGTGTCTGACACACGGTAGGGAGGACATCAGTGACAAAAAACAGGTGTAGGTTTGTGTTTGGGATTTGGTGGAGGAGGCAAAGTTGGGTTGAAGTAAACATCACGTGTTGTAGCAAACATTCACAGCAGTAACTACATATAATAAGTGATTTTATATATTGACATAAAAAAATAGCAATGAAGTTCCACTCAAAACTTGTTTGTAAGGTATCAACTCATGTAAATCTGTGTTATTCGGTAAGTCGGATTACTGTGAACCATGTAATCATACTGTTACCTTTACCTGAATATATCCACAGTGGGTATTTAGGTATTTATGCTGATTAATTCCACTGTGCTCTCTTGCTTGTCTGTCTTTAATAAGGCATTTCAACATTTTATAGGTAGACAATGTGTTTAAATTTTCGGGTAGTAGTGACAGAAGACGTCACTTTTTATGATTGGGTTACGAAGTGATACAGAATATTAATATACAGTGGGTGTGTGAATGATCATCATCTGCCCTGTGTCTTTCAGGAGCCAAACCAGGCCCAGTCATACCAGCCCCAGCCATACCAGGCTCAGCCCATGTACCAGCAGCAGCCACAGTCCATGTTCCAGCAGGAGGCCCCTCATCAGCAGCAGGCCTGCTCCTACGAGCTCAAACAGTTTGTCGATTGTGCCCAAAATCAGAGCGACTTCAAACTCTGTGAGGGCTTCAGCGAGGTGCTGAAACAGTGCAAGTTTGCGAACGGTGAGTGAAAAGTGTAACACTGCAAACGTGTGTGGCCATTTGTATGACATTAGATTACATACAGATTTATAAATTACTGATAGGTGTGTCAGGAGGTTTTTATCTTATTGTATATCAGATCAGTGCATCGTCTCTGCAGTCTTGTTTTGTACTTTCTATACTTGCTGCCAAATATGGAGGCATACGCACTTAGTCATCTAGACGTCACAGCCCAAGGACATTAGACCACGGGTTCTGGTGTAATGTGTTGCAGTACCCAGTGTGGCCATAAGGAGGAGTAGCAGCTTTAAAGGCTTTCAGAGTGCTTCATACAACTGGCTTTCTTTTCTTGTACTGTAGATTGTTTTTAATAATGCCAAATAAATTCATTAACCTATAAGTATGAAAACATGTCTAATTAGACTTTTTCTTTTCTCCACAGGTCTGTCATGAGACTGAGAGCAGAAACTGGAGAGTGAAGAGCACACATAAACTGAAATAATCAACCGTACTGGATAACAAGAGGGTGTAATTCATAATAAATCAATAAACATGCTTTTATTTTGACAGCTGGTCATCAGAGAGCATCATTGTGTTCCTTTCTCAGGACAGCACTTCAGAGTTTGTAATAATAGTCTTATAAATGATGTTTATATATTTTGGTGTTGCATGCTATGAGTTGATTTCAGTTGTTTTTCATTAGCTTCAGTGCTTTTAATTTAAAGTTCCTCCCATATAAGTATAACAACGTGTACAACCTCCAGCTTATGGGTGCCTACAATGTGTAACAAGTTTAGAAATAATAAAGCACTTGACTCATTAAAACACTGTGATGATTTATTCCCTGCCTGTTCGGATGGACCACATTATTCCACTGTACTCTTGAAGAAACATTTCTATTTTTACAATCAGTGTCTTTAATTAGAATGGAGCAGCTACAAAGCAGAGATACCACAGCAGCACCTGTCCTGTCAGTCTAGAGTCGCGGTTGAACGTTGCATGTGCAGTAAAGTCGGTAACGTAGAGCAGTGCTGTGTCTGTGATCGTCTCATTGAGGGCGCAGGAGGTGCAGGGTGTTATTTCATGGATCTGGTTTTTGTGCGGACGCGCGTTCAGAGTGCGCTCCTGCTCCTGCTGCGGAAGCAACAATTTATTTTTGGCATCTGACATTAAAGCTCACCCTTTGCGATGGCAGCGGCCCCATGAAGCCGCCACAGCACCGAGGGTTGACTGGACCTCTTTGTTCGCCCTCTACTGAGTGATAATGATGGACCCCCTTTTATAACAGGGACTGAACAGCACGGGACGCGGTGAGTGACCCACCGGTGTTTTTTCTCTTCTTTAATGTGTTTCTTTATTGGAGCCCGCAAAAGGTCAAATAGTGAGAGGATGAGAGGGAGATAGTTCACATGCTGTTCACATGCTGTTGTATTAGTCTACACCCGAGCTTATGTCGGCTAATGTCGGATCATTTCTAGTGACTCTGGTTGTGCCATCGATAATAATAAAGGCGTCTATCTACACCAGGTAACAATTATACATCTTGAAATACCTCCTAAGCTTTTAATTTTAAGAAGAAGATGAAATGTGCATGAAATGAGTCACTTTAAATTAATCCTTAGACCACAGGAAGGCTCTGTTGTTGCTCCTCAGTCATCTGTTTATCTTATTAAAAGTGCAATGTAGTACAATGTTGGGACACTTGTATATGTTGTGCTCTTTTATACTTATACTCCACTACATTACAGAGGAATATTTTACTCCACTATAGTATAAAACTTAATGTACTCTTACAGGTTAATCCAACCTACAGTATATACAATAGTTGCAATTCATAACTGTTTTCATTATCATTTAGCCTGCCAATTATTTTGTAACCTTCTAGAACAAACATGAACTGTAAACAAAAATCTAAATAAAATGAAAAAACTTATTTTGCTCAAAACCAAACCAAAAGAAATTCAGTTGAAACATAAAATACAACTGATTAATCATCAAATCACCTCAGCTCAATAGTAAACCCGGCTCCACCGTGACCTGCTACAACATTAAAGTGCTGCTTGCACATGAATGCATCAGTAATGATAAACACAACATAAAACAATGTGAACACTGACAGGCAACCTGTTGTGAGCTGAAAGAGGAAGAGCGGTTTTGAAACCTTGGTGGTGAACCAGCATCGCAGCCATCATGACCAAAGAGGAGGAGATCCCTGACTGGGTGGGAGCCCAGGAGTTCTACGACAAGTATGAGCCCAAGGAGATTCTGGGAAGGTATGTTTATAAAGTCTTAAATTAGCCTGCAGTAGGGGTTCCCAACTCCCACAAGGGGTCGCAAGTTAAATCTGAGGAGTCAGGACTTCTCTCTCTGATCTCTGCTTTATTTTTCTTGTGAATTTCTGGCCAATTTAGTTTCTTTGTGACGTCAGAATTATTCAAATGAAGTAAGAAAACTCACAGGAGGTCACAGCCGGTAGACATTTGTGACTTGTTATGAGTAGATGCAAATATATTATGTTTCTTCATTTTAAAGGAATAGTTGAGAAGATTGACACCATTCTCATTTGTGTAAGATAAGATATACCTTTATTAATCCCCGTAGCTTTAAATATGAAGCTGCAGCCAAGAAGTGATTAGCTTATCTTAGCATAAAGACTGGAAACGGGGAAACAGCTAGCCTGGCTCTATCCAAAGGTCACAAAATCCACCTACCAGCACCTCTAAAGCCCACTGATTAACACGTTATATCTTATTTATTTAACACAAGATTTTGCCAGGCATTCAGCAAGAGACTCCAGAAAGTTATATTTTGTCACCTTTGGAACTGTTTCCAGTCTTTGTGCTAAACTAAGCTGGCTGTAGCTTCATATTTAGCAGACACAAATGCCAGTGGTATTAATCTTATTATCTAACTCTTGGCGAGACAGTGAACGAGCATTACTCCTCAAAACTACAGCCAAAAATGTTGTGAACGACTGGCCCTCAACACAAGTTCTCATTTGTCAGTGTGGTTTAATAAACTTGCAGTCTAGATATTCCCAACTCTAAAAAAAGTTTCTAAAATTGTATCAACAGCACAATACAGTATAATACAGCTCAGAATGTGAGAAATGTTTATTCAGCTTGAACTGTCACTGTTGCTGTGGACAGTACAAAAACAAGCCCAATGGTTTCCCCGAAGTTTCCCAGAAGTCCCTGAAAAGCTTCCCTTTCTCATTGTCATTCCCCACCATCTGTCAGACGGCGGTGCTGTTATGTAAGCTCACAGTGTTCAAGGAGACTGCATTCATTAACTTCAGCGTGTTTTGGACAAAGGTTTAGTGTTGAGAGCTGCCCGGGATGGCACGCTGTTCAGATTACGCAATTTCACTCACACACAGGTCATTTAAGGTCACAAGGTCACCGGATGTGAACAATGTGTTCAGCTGCTCTAGTATTCTTCCCATGGCTCACTCTGCTTCACAAACTGGGGGCAGAGAGTCTGTTCGGTGTCCTCTGGAGTGTATTTATTTCACAATCTTTGACTCTACGCTCAGGCTCCTTTCCCTGAACGATTACACTCAAATGAAGCTACTCTTCCACAGATTAGATTACAGAAGTATTCAGTAGAGTATAAAGACGTGTGCTGAAAGAAACAGCTTGAGTGTGGAACATTACATCCACGAGTTACCACAGGAAACTTTCAGCTTGGTGCTGAAATTCCTGACTGAAGCACACAAACATGTTTTCTTTGAGTCCAGCTGTTCAAACAGAAAAAAAAAAACATCTGAAGAAATCAGTAACCTGACAAAGCTGTAGATAACAAGGCTTCTCTTCCTCAGGGGAGTGAGCAGTGTGGTGCGTCGCTGCGTTGATAAACGGACGTCTCAGGAGTACGCGGTGAAGATCATCGACATCACCCCCTCAGACAAGATGACTCCGCAGGAGATCGAGGAGATCAGAGAAGCGACGGTGAAGGAGATCGACATCCTCAAGAAAGTCTACGGACAGGACAACATTAGTAAGCACATCAGTTTCATTTAAACTGGGTGATTTGTCTTCTTACACCTGGTCCCACTGACCTGAGGTCAGTTGTGAACAGAGCTGGGAAGTAACAGTACAAACACAACAAGCCCGGGCTTTTATTTGTTCAATCACTGAATTCAAACAGGCCTCTATACGGGACAGGGCTTTAATTCTTTTAGCACAAAACTCTTGCTCAAAGATGGGAAATACTAACAGATTGTTTATGATATAATGAACTGAATGATTGAACTGTGGAGAATCTAACTGATCTATTGATGTGTATAACACATTTATTCAAGTGGTCGTTTTATACATCCAAACTATTTATATATAAAATCCATACCAGGCTTCTAATTGAGACTGGTGTTTATTTGTCAAAACATGTAGCCACACCTGGTTAGTAAAGGAGACCTGCGTATAATTGTGATGCTGTTTTTAATTTAAGTTTTAGTAATTTCAGGTATCTGTATTTGAGTATTTATTTTTCTGGAAACTTTTGAGGGGAAATCATTGATTGTTTTTGTGTATCATTGCACAACTTCCCAACATTAAGACTCTATCAAACATAACGGACAAAAACAACATTAAAAACGTAACAAGACAAAACCAACAAGAGACAGAGACTCAACTCTATTTGACTTTTTACGTTCATATTTTGAGTACAGATCAATCCTTTTTAACTTTTACTTGAGTAAAGAAATTGATTCTACTTTTACTGGAGTCATGATGTGTGTCTGGTTGTGAAGAGTTTTGCTTTGTGCTCTCAAGTGATCCACTCATCAAATCTGATTAAACGTTCCTCAAATTTGTCTCTCCTCTCCAGTACAGCTCAAAGACTGCTACGAGTCCAAAGCCTTCTTCTTCCTGATTTTTGACCTGTAAGTGTCAAATCTCAAGTTATACATTACTTTTTCAATTGTAACTAAAAAAGAAATTTGCTTAAGTCTCACTTTCTTTCTGCCAGGATGAAGAGGGGTGAACTTTTTGACTATCTCACTGAGAAAGTTACCCTGAGTGAGAAGGAAACCAGGTCAGTGAATTTGTTATTTCGCTGTCTGACTACTTTCTAAGACGAATGCGATGAATTATCGTAACTTTTTAAAGACCTTAAGTTCAGTTTGGTGTGTGTTGGTTTTAGGAAGATCATGCGCGCTCTGTTGGAGGTGGTCAAGTTTCTCCATGACCAGAACATCGTCCACCGGGACCTGAAGCCTGAGAACATCCTGTTAGACGACGAGATGAACATCAAACTCACGGACTTTGGCTTCGCTGTGCAAGTCAAGCCGGGACAGAAGCTCAAAGGTCAGTGAAAGTATTATTACAAGATTTAAGGTCATTGGAGGACAAGTCTACATCAAGATGGTCCGAGCTATACCATCAACACTACTGTATACTAACAGCAATGACTCCGACCCCGACATATTCAGCTGAGGGTTTATAAGTGTCCTGCTGTAATGAAGTTACTGTTTACAACCTACAGTGCGGGTACACCAGCTGCGGGTACACCAGCTGCTGGCGGTCGGAGGAGAATCTGGGTCTGGTTGCACAACATGCTCCCATCTCTCCTAGCTGCTCTCACAAAGGTTAAGATGCAACAGGACACTCAGATCTATTTGCTGTAGTCTCAGACGGTCGGAGTACACTGACCTTTCAAACAGACTTCTCAGAAAGTGTGAGATCACCGGCAGTGGGAACTGGCAAGTTAAACGTCTAATGGGACTGTCCATCAACATATCATTTTGTGTAGCTGGTAAATGTATAACGTGCATTAGTAGATCTATTCCTGCAGAAACGATGTGAGATGAAATTGTCTTAATGTACCAGGAGGTCAATAGTTACAGTGCATTCACTGGTTCTCAAACTATAATATGTGTACCACTAAAATACAATTATTTCAAACATATAATACTGTCAAAATACTACAAACGTTTGAATGAGAATAGTGAGGAGATTTCTGAAATCTAAAATACGTTTTCTTCCAGTAATATTTTAGTTTTTGTCTTGTGATGGCAAGATAGAAGGTAAAGGTAAAATGACTCCATACAGGAACTATTGGGAATAGAAGTGTGGACCAGGGGAACTTCCTTTACCACCAAATTAGTTCTTGAACCAGGTCAGTTCAGGATTCAACAACAGGCAGCAATGAATAATCTTATTGGAATAAACCTGCCTTCTGCGTGAACATGAATAGCTGAACAGGGTCAGCCTACATTACCGTACTGAGCCCAATATCTTCTGAAGTTTAAGAAACACTGCTCTGATTTGAAGATGTACAAAGTTATTATAAGTCCTGAAGTAACTGTATTTGAGTTGGTTAAGCAGTTTATTTAAGTCAGTGTGTGATTTAATAATTTCTTTCTATCTAAAAAACTGCTAGAGCCCAAGCTTTGTAAATAAAGGCTTGAAAGTTTACGAGTTTGTCGTTTCTGTAACGCAGAGGTGTGTGGGACCCCTGGTTACCTCGCTCCAGAGATCATCGAGTGCTCCATGGACGCAGGGCACGCAGGATATGGTACTGCTGTGGACATGTGAGTGCACAGAGACCAAAGTCACACTCTATATATGCAATCATATAAGATCTGCTGTGGCTGTAAGTGTATTACAGTATGTTATTATCAGGATAATGAATGTACACACTGTTAAAACACTTTCCTCTGGGTTTGCCTGCAGATGGAGTTCAGGGGTCATCATGTACACGCTGCTTGCAGGCTCTCCGCCCTTCTGGCACAGGAAACAGATGCTGATGCTGCGTATGATCTTGGCTGGGAACTATGACTTCTCATCTCCAGAATGGGAGGACCGCTCAGACACTGTGAAAGATCTGGTAGGCTGTCGATCAAATGACCCAAGACAGCTTGTCTTTTTTTTAAGTGCAGAATCACAAAAGGATGAATGAAACTCTGTGTGGTTTCCTCAGATCTCTCGGATGCTGGTGGTGGACCCAAAACAGCGATACACAGCTACCGATGTTCTCAACCACTCGTTCTTTTCACAGTATGTGGTGGATGAAGTACGACAGTTCAGTCCATACAGGCGCTTCAAGGTGAGATGATTTTTTTATTTTGCATTCACATACACACAGCATACTATAAATGCAGATTTATGCAGATCTTCCCGTGTGTGTCAAACATTAGTTAGATGTTCTGGTTTTGGAAACAAAACTTAATGATCTTTGAGAGGTGACAGGCCAATGTCACATATTTGAGTGTCTTTGAACGAACCAGCAGAGACAGATTTAACTACAATATCACACAGGGACAGTTTACAGTTTAATATGACACCTACCCCATATTACCTATAAAATAAGTCTGTTGTCACTGTCACACGTAAATGAATGAAAACAAATCCCCAAATCCAAAATCTACAGTATACTGAAGCATGACAAAGTAACTAAACTAAAAGATGTCAGTCAAACACAGTTGTAGACACACAAAGTCTAATTGGGCAAAATAAGTGAGAACAACTGTGTGGATGGGCAAGGTGTCTATTGTGCATTTTTAATATTCCCTCCATTTAATATTCCCTCAGTACTCCAATAAACACAAAACTTTTCCCAATCTTTGTCCTCCAGGTCATTTGTATGACTGTTCTCGCCACAATGAGAATCTACTGCAACTACCGCCGTGCCAAGCCGGTCACCAAGGAGGTGATCAAGAGCGACCCGTACGCTGTCAAGCCGATCCGCAAGCTCATCGACGCATGTGCTTTCAAGATCTACGGCCACTGGGTCAAGAAGGGCCAAACTCAGAACAGAGCAGCACTTTTCGAGAACACTCCCAAAGCCATCCTGCTGTCGATAACTGCTGAGGCCGACGAGCCAGTCCAGCACATCTGGTAACGAGCACTTCAGGATCGACCCGCTGGAGCTTAATGGAGATGCACTTCTACACTGTTTACCTTCTCCTGTTGTATAGAAGAAATGAACTGGTAAGCCACTACTACCACCAGGCACCAGGTTGATTTGTCTTTAATGTGGAGAGTTATGTTCATGAATTTTGAATACTGTAAAATAACAGATTTACTGGCAAAATGTAGAGAAAATATTTAATTTTAAATGAACCCACTCTCTCCTGAGTTCTTTGATTACCATTTTTCAAACGTGGATACAAGGTTTCCACTTTATATTTTACTGTATGAAATACTAGAATATATATTTGAATTTTAAATGTTTGAAATCAAGAGTGGTTCTATAAGTGATGCCCTGCAGCGATGGGTTACTCTTTTCCTTACAAAAGTGTTTTGTCAGAACTGTGAAGCATCGTCTTAGCAGCCCAAAGCAAAACGTGTTAAAAAAAAAAAAAAACAGCCTACATAATTTAGCTGACTGGTATATAAAACAGTGAACCTGCATACTTGAATTGGCATGGACTTAATTGTTTGCGTACTGCGTGGCTGTAGATCCTTATGCAGGATGTACATTACTGTACTGAACTACTTATTGTACTGGCAGCAGTTTCAAGGGAAGTTTTAAAGACGATAGCACTTTAAAATGTATGCTTTGGATTTATTTATTAAAATGTGCATTTAATTTAAACTCCAGTCTTTTTGTCATGCTTTTGAATTTTAAGTAATGTAGAAAGTGAATACACAAGAGCAGTTTTGAACACAGTTGCCGGTTTATTATAAACAGAAACGTGAAGTACATCCACATTTTTCAGTGATAAACAACTATCCACGGGCAGATGGTACTAGTTCTTAGTACATGACGCAGCTTTTTCTGGTGGAGCTGTGGGTAGAAAAGACAAACAGACAGCATTTAGAGTTAAAGAGATCACAGAGCAGAGAGACAGTTGTTATTTTGACTTTTCATATTCTTACCATGAGTGGTGGAGTTGGTTATTTATCTCATGTTCCTGCTTCAGAAGCACCGCTGGTTGTCCTGCAGAATTTAGCAAACAAGAAAAAGAGAATCAATACAAAAACGAACATGAACTCTTTTCCAGAGCAGCATCTTCACTTTGTGCATCTTTGTACTCATTCCTGTACAGTTGGATGAGGCCGAGGGGAGCACTCATCCAGTCATTTAGCAGAAATGAGACGAGGCTTTTGCATGGTGTCTGACTGTATCCATCACAGAGCAGCTGGAACAGAATTCGTCCATGCCTCAGTGGAAACTTCTTCAATGATAGGAATAATAATCGTAACAAACATACCTTCCTCAGGCCTTTGTTCATTGTAGCGACCTTGTTGCGTTGGGCCTGTGTGTGAGGACCATCAGCATGACTGAGTCTGTATTACTTCTCCATGAATACATATTTCAATGCTGGAACCAAATAAGTACAATAGAGGATATGAGATGGATTATCTGCTGATATGTTATTGAGCTGTATGTTCTCACACAAACAAGAAATTAGAAAACAGCACAGATTAGATAAAATGTGTGACAAAACAGCATTATATTGAAATACTGTAGTTCTGAAGAGATTCCCTGGACTATAAACCTTGTTCTCTACATGTAAGAAAACACATTCTGTTCAATAATCATCAACCCACACTTAGAGATTCAAAGACTTTCTGTCCACATATTTAAGCTAGACGCATGTTTCTGTATTCACTCTGACATGAGAATGAGGCACATCGTCAGCGCTCTTATCCTGTTGTTGAGTCAGTGTGTGAAAACAATACTTTAGCACGGTGTCTGACTGCATTTACTATTACAAGAGTAATACAGAATTCAGCCATGCATCCAAATACATTATTATTATTATTATTATTATTATTTATGAGTTACCTCTCCATGTTTCAGGATCAACAATCCCGTTGTCAGACAAGGCCTCTGCAATATGAGTCAGTTCTCTGTAGGAGAGGATCCATCTCTGTAACAGAAAGCAAGTATTAAGAGGTTGACCAATGTATGTTTGCTAAGATTATTGGACTGATAAGTGCTCGTTTTTTTAATTAAAATCTTAACAGGAAACAAACATGCAGCTAAAGTGCTTTATGGGCACAGATTATGGCATTACAAACTATTTCAATGCTGGCCGCTCAAACATTGAACAGTTTAAATAATCGGTACACTTTCAGTATAATAAAGTCTATCTGCTCTTCCTCACCTCAGCACATGGAGGCCTATGAGTTTCAGGATGTGAGCTCCTCCATGATGAGTCAGTTCAGGCCAGCTCCTCCAATGTATCCTGTGCAATCATCACAAACATCACTCAGCATGAATCCATACATTTTATACACTGAATACAGGTTTTAAGCATTGACAGTATATATAAAATATATATAGTTTAAGCCTATATAAGTTTATGAAGGTCCATGCATGCACAAGCTTTTATACATTAAGGCCAGACATAAACACCCTGTCTACACACATCGCAAAATATGATAATATTTTGAAATATTGAAGCAGTTAAAGTCAGTTCATTCACTGATTATTCCCACAGACACCCAGGTGCACCAACACGTGCTCCACATACTTTCATCGTCCATGTTAAAAACCTGCTGACAACCAATCACATTCAGTCTGAGTCTCTCTCCAGTATTACCTGCGCTCAGGTGCAGTCTCGTGTTTTCATTGACAGAAAACCAGGTCGACATTTCACAAAGAGAGACCTCAGTGCCGTGCTCTCCATCGACGTCAACGTGGAGTTTGAAGAGCATCACTCTTTACTTCCGACTTCTCGTTATTCCTCGTCCTCTTTTGCCGCTTGAAAGCCGCGTTGCGCTCACTGCCGCCAACTTCTGGTCAGGAGGAGAACTGCGAATCAAACTCTTTTACATTTTAAAACGGGTCTTTCTTAATCAAACTTTTGTGAGCATATTTCTTCATCCAAAACAAAATGCTGTTTAAACTTAAGCACTTACATTTTCTCTAGCAATCCTCATTTGTAAGAATCCTACTTTATTTTCCTTTAATCGCCCCACTGAGTCTGTCATCCAAGCATCTTAACCACATTAACTCAGTTAGCTCCAGTTAGTTCATTCAACTCGATCTGCTGTGTTTTTATATCCCTGCTGTTGACTAATCAACTCCATATAGGCTATTAATACTATATAAATAAACTTGATAACAACTCCCAGTTTCTGTGGATTGTTTACTCTTTATATATCCGGTTTTAATCCTGCCTGCTTGTTGTGTGTATTTCTTAAACTTCATTAATAATGCCACGATGGACCTACAATACCACCTTCACAATATTGCAAGTCAGAAAAAATATGTTTTTGTAAACCATAACCTGAACATAAAGAACCACAGAATGGATAATGTTTGTCTTTTTGGATGCATCTGTGTTTGAATGTGATTATTTTGCTGCTTAATGGTTGTTACATCTTTTAATATTCTTATGTAATATTACTTTTGAATAACCTCAACACCAAATATGCAAATAAAAAACAAGAGAAAAGAAATGAGTCAATATGTGTATTCTGTTCTTTATTCTAAGACAAGAGAATAATGAAACCTTTGAAAAGATTTCTAGCATAAGAAATTTGTCCTCTGTTCGGGGTATTTTTAAAGAAAAACTGGTGTATTTTAAAATTGAAATCCTGCTAAATAATCCCCATTTTACTGAAAGTATCTGTTATTGGATTACAGCTTCTTAAGTAACGTAATCTGTTACTCCCAAAGTCAAATAAGCCTTAATAAATCAAGCCTGAATTAATTTATGAGGTCTACTCCTTTAGTTGGAGCTGACTGCTTTAATAACAATAATAATAAACCTACTTTAATACAGTTTTTGTAAAAGGTAACTAAGAAGATCAAATGCACAAAGCACACTCACTATATTGGAATTATAATCATTCGTTATTGTTTTTAAACTTTATTTACAAACAGGTAAACACAGACAATACCAGGGGACAGACATACATTATAAATTAAATAAATTATACAAGGTAAATAAACATAACGTTTGGATTGTTTTTTCATTTTTACAGTGTGAGATTATTAAGTAATTAAGTATTAAGTAAGTAATATTAATTATCTTATTGTTGATTTCACTTTCAAAATAAAAAAAGATGGTTTATTATTTGGAAAATGGCAAACAGAAGGATCAAATTGATGATATAATACCGATTACAAAAGAAAAGAAAAAAGCCAAACAATACATTCTAATACAAAAAGGGTAAAATCAGAAACAATAAACTGCGAAATAAAAGCACAAATATCTTTTTAAATTAAAATAGATCTTCCGGAGCCGGTCGATAAAGCGAGCAGTTGGCATAAATTAGCCGTTAGTGAGCTGACAGTTGCTGTCGTCATGGAACCGAGCCAGCGGGTAGTGGGCGGTCCCTCACCGGCTTCCCTCTGATTGGTCCAGCTCCCAGCGCGTCCCTTCCTCGTCGGTGAGCCCATTGAGTGGTCGGCTAATGCTGAAGCTGCGGTTAGTGCCTTATCAACGCTGCTCGCACCGGTAAGTACCAAAGAGCACACCGTGAACAGTTTAAAGAAGATATCAGCCCGGTGTTAGTCTCCCGGGTCCGACGGTTGAACGGCGGTTGTGTGAAGCCGGACAGGTAACCGCCATCCCCCTCGGAACCAACGGTCGTACGTAAACGTCAGAAACGTAGCAGCGCCAGCCTGCAGCACCGAGCTACTGTTACACCAACAGGGGGTCTTTTTTTCTGTTTTACCGTGTTTACTCGTCGTCTTCACGTTTGTTTTGGGTCTTGCTCGCCATCCCCGGTTCTCTGTATTGTGCCTGGGGTGACGCAATAGGAGCAGACGATGTCCATACCGGCCTATCATCATATAGTTTGTTTAGGCACACTTTACGTAACGCGTTTTTTCTCCACACACACACACACACACGACAGACCGGGACACGTGGTTTTTTTTTTTCGGGGAGGGCTCTGTCGATGCAGAAACGTTTGCACATAGGTATTTCAGTGAATGGATGAGTTTGCTGCTCCACTGGAGAGAAGACATCCACTGCAACCAGGCAGCTGCAGGGGGAAACCACAGTGCCACCAGAGCAGGGCTTAAAAAAAGGGATTATTGTGACAGATATTGCAATATGATCTTTGATTAGTGGGAATGGTCATTTTTGCATCACAATTTTCACTTTAATTTTGATCGATCAGGGCATTTCTGCAGCACTAAAGTACAAAAGTTGCAGCTTCTGCAATCTGGATATTACAATGCAGTTTTTTTTTTAATGCAGCTGTCTTTGAGTGTCTCATACTGTGTGTTTATTCTTTTTATTCCAGCATAATGGCAACACTTTCACAGACAAAGGAACTCTTCAGGAGAGCAGAAGCTGTCTGTTTCGATGTGGACAGCACTGTTATCAAAGAAGAAGGCATAGACGAACTTGCCAAGTTTTGCGGCGTGGGGGATGCAGTCACTGAAATGTATGTGTATAAATGCCGTCAACATCACGTGAAAGCACGCACTAAAGAGTACACTTCTGTTTTGATATTGTCCTTGGATTTGTTTAAAATGTCACGCCGCCTTTTGCTGTTTTCACATTTCAGGACTCGCAAAGCTATGGGTGGTTCCATGACGTTTAAAACGGCCCTGACTGAGCGTCTTTCCATCATCCGATGTTCCAGAGAACAAGTGAACAAACTGATAACAGACCACCCACCTCAGCTGACTCCAGGTATCAGGTGAGGATCCCAGTTTATCTGAGTAAAGTCAGTCGTATATTGGTATGCGCAGGAGATTTAACGTACATAAATTGATCAACTAAACCAAATTTATGGTAAACAACCATTTGTTTACAAGGGAACTACTTGATTGTGGACATTTAAGAAAAGAAAAATGGGGGAAAAACAAGATCATTTTGTAGGAAAACACCAAATCAATATTTTTAAAGCATACGGTTGATAGATTTTACAACTTCCTGCTAAACCAAAATGTAAATGTTGATAAATGGTCATTAATCTTCATCCAGGGAGCTTGTGGACCGTCTGCACCAGCGCAACATTAAGGTGTTCCTCATCTCAGGCGGCTTCCGCTGCATTGTTGAACATGTGGCCACTCAGCTAAACATTCCTCTGCATCACGTCTACGCCAACCGGCTCAAGTTCTACTTCAACGGTAAGAGCTAGAGGTTTATACTGCTCTCACAAAGAGTGGAGCATTGTGGGTCTGAATCAAATCTGAAGTATCACAACGCTCCTGGCAGCCTGCTGTAAGGCCTCATTCTACATGCGCTAAATTGAATTACACCCGTGTGTTTTCCAGGAGAGTATGCTGGTTTTGATGAGAGTCAGCCCACAGCTGAGAGCGGTGGAAAAGGAAAGGTCATCAGCATGCTGAAGGAACAGCACGGCTTCAAGACCGTGGTGATGATTGGAGATGGAGCCACTGATCTCGAGGCCTGCCCTCCGGCTGTAAGTGTTCACACTAGTGTCGTCACCATACCAAAATTATTGTTTCGATACCGATACCAAGTCAAGAATTGCGATTTCGATACTTTTTCGATACTTTTCCTGAAAAGGGAGAAACACTCTCAAATATCATTGCTGTGCTTTATTTTAAAAC